CTCCCTCCACGAACGCGCGAGCACAACAACGAAGCCGCAAGTCTTCGTTCGACGGGCACGAAGCAACGACGAAGTGGCAAGCCTTCGTTCGCGAACGGCGAAGCGAACCGAAGGACTGGCCGACGTGCGAAGTGAAAAAAAAAAAAAAATCCACTTCCCGCACGCGCTGCCGCCCGCCCGCCGCGCACACACCAATGGTCCGATAGCGCGCCGCGACTGCGGGAAATTCGCTCTGCGCCGCTTCGACTTTGTGTCCTCCCGACACTGCAGAGCGGGGCGTGTCGCGTGGAACCGCCACACCGAATTTCCCTCACTCCCGCCCGCAGTCCCGCCACGAAACGCCGCGGCCGAGTTACCTTGCCCCAGTCCCGCCCGCCTCCACACCGAATTTCGCTGGGCCCAGCGGGAAGCATCACGCTGGGCCCTTTGCATTCTTTAAGAGTATAGGGAAGAACTTCAGAAGTTGGGCATGGCCTCTGGGCAAGGTTGACACACAGTAATCAAGAAATGATCCAAAGACTCCAAATTAAAAAAAAAAAAAAAAGGACACAATATACCTTTCTTGGCCTTTTGGCTAAGATCAAGTGTAGTATCTGATCTGAGCTTCTGATCAGTTCAATATCCTGTGGAAAAAGGAGGAGGAGGAGGAGGAAATGAAGAAGAAGAAGAAGAAGAAGAAGAAGAAGAAGAAGAAGAAGAAGAAGAAGAAGGAGGAGGAGGAGGAGGAGGAGGAGAAGAAGACGACGAAGAAGAAGAAGAAGAAGTCGCTGACCACAGACAAAAGGCAGTAAGGCGTTACATGCAGGGTTGGTGCGGCAATGGATTGGATTGTTTGGAATTTCATCCAGTCAGTTGATATTTGTGCGAGGAATGAGCCCTCGCTGTGGGCTCTAGGCGGCGGCCTGCCACAGGCCAAAGGGGCGCCCACACAGCGTCGTGCTTGCCCTAAGTGAAAGCCGGGCCTGCATTTGGAAACGAGGCCTATTTTTGGTATTTCTGCATTGTGGGGCGCCAGACAGTTGCCACGCGCCAGTTGGTTACAGGGCCATGCCTATGTGAGCACAACATGCAGAGCCTCTGGGCTCACTCCAGCAGCGAGGTGGCCAGAGGCTCTCGGAGACTCGGCCAATGAGAATGCAGGGAGCGACGTGGCTGGGGCTCTGTAGGCCGATGAGAATGCAGCGTGCGACAGCAGCCATAGCCGTTGCACAGTTGGGCATCCTCAGTGCTGTGGGCCCAGGCAACTGTCTGCACGGGCCTGGGCGCAGACACTTTGGCCTAATGTGAAGCTACTGGGCACGCGCATGCCAGGCCCAGCCCAGCCAGAGGCAGGGCTCGCTTTCCATAAAGGAAAGTGAGCGCCCAGACAGCAGCACATTCTGGCTTAGCAATGCTGGGCAGCCACGCTGCTGCGCTGTACGCAGACAGGCTGCCTGGGTGCTCGCAAGCCGGGGCGCGAGCGGGCGCTAGGAGGTGAGAGGGGGCTGCGGTGGCAGCAGGCGCACGGCGGCCATAGCCGGGCTGCTGGGGCGCATGCCAGTCGGGCGATGGTGGTCTTCGGGAGAGGAGGTGCATGCTGTGGGGAGACAGGGGGTGATGAGGGGAGAAGAGAGATGTACTTGGTGTATGCTGGCGGTCTGCATTGGCGACATCGTCACGTACATTGCTCTTCAGCTCGAAGTGACTCCTGTTGCATACACGTAGTGTAGGCTAGAGTAGGTGCTGAGGAGGATAGGTTGGGCGCTGAGCGTCAATCACGAAGGGCGACATTGAATACTATGTTGGTGGTGGTGAGAGAGTGTTGACATTGGCATCTGGGTTCACGGTATTGCTCCTATTTGGCTGGTATCACAGTGCATTGTGCTTTTCTGCTTCGTACGCGACTATCTGGTCTACAGCGTGATATTGCAATTTGGTTTTCTGTCTATCGCTCTCGCTCATATTCCTTGCATCTGATATCTCTGTGTAACGAATTGTATATGTCGTTGTGGTGGTGGTATGTTGCCTCCTCTGCTGCTGCTCTGGCCTCTGTTGATGTCTCAGGATTAAACATGAAGGTGTGCTTGGTCCTTGCTATCTTGCAAACAACCTTCTGGCCTATTTGGGCAATAGCAGTGAAGCATCCAGCAATGGGGAAAATATTTTTCGTTGACTTCGGTATGTTGGCAGCGCTGGGACTGGAAGTCTTCGACTTCCCTCCTTTGTTTGGCTTGTTTGATTCACATTCACTTTGGCATCTTGCAACGGTGCCATTAGTGTCGTGCTGGTGGAGCTTCGTGCAAGACGACGCGAGATGGACCTCCAAAGTGGCCGCACTGAATGATGCGAAAAAACCCTTATGACTACGGGTGTAGCCACAGGCCATGTTGTTGTGTGCGTCTCTGGTCTTGTGATCGCAATTGCGATTGCAATGAACTGGTCTCTGCCTTGGATCCATATCGAGTTTCCGTGCGCAGGTGGGCGGCACAATGCGGCTTGAGGCATGAAAAAGAAGGGTGGCTTTGAAAGGATTGGCTTTTGCCGGAGAACCTGTCAGTGTAACAGGCAGGTGGTCTTTGGGAAAGAAGGAGGGGGGCGATCAATAGTGAAGTACCTACCATTGGTGTCATGATGATGTGATGTTTTGCTGTTGTGTTTGTCAGCGATTGCACTGCCCTGATGGGATTGATTGGCGTATGTTTTTTGATTTGTGTCACAGAGAGAGAGAGAGAGAGAGAGAGAGAGAGAGAGAGAGAGAGAGAGAGAGAGAGAGAGAGAGAGAGAGAGAGAGAGAGAGAGAGGTGT